AAAGGTAATGACCAGAGTTCATATACTCAAATGGAGCAAGTCTTTGGAAGTTTAAGCTCCAAAGCCTCAGGCTCCAAAAAAGAAACCCTTGGTTGTAGCTACCAAGAGTGACAAAACAGGGGAGAAAGAAGGGGCAAGCTTAAAACTTAATTCTAAGATCCAGTATGGTGTTTTCATTTGGTTTTGGTTTTGGATTTTTTTGCTTCAGAATACCCTAGAAGGTTACAGTGTTAATTTAAAAAATTTTAAGGGGAGGGAGATCATTTCTCTGCATGTACGTTCTTTGGTTCTGTCTCCTGAGTGCTGAGGGCAGGTATTCACTGGAGTCCCTAGGCTGAAATTCTGCTTCTCTAAAGTGTCTTCCAAGCCTTGGTCTTTTGTATTAGACCCTAGGGACAGCTCTTTGTTCCTCCTTGGGGTGAGCCTGGCTCTCAGACTTGCACATGGCAATACTTGAATATCTCCACGTCGGGATATTAAAGATGGATATTCCTGCATTATTCGCATCATTGTTTCTATGACAAAAAGCACAGAGTTCATACATAGTCAAGATGTCTTTTTTCTGACGCCCTCACGTTGAGAAGCTGAAAAGGTATTTTACTGAAGTTCGGCTAAATTACAGAATCAGGTTCATCCAGAGGACAAATTTTCTATTCGATTAGCTGTATTTCAGCCAGCAGGACTGACCTCTAAACCCTTAACCTTTTGGACTCTAACTACCCTTTTCTTTCTTCCCCCTCTAACATGGAGAGCTGTCTTGGGTGTAGCATTTGAAAAGAACTGCTCTCCTTAGGCAAGTTGGAAAGTTGCTAAAATCCTTTTCCTAAAACACCCCAAATCTTTGCATACATTGACCTTTTCCTTGGGAGGGGAAAATGTATATATTTTCAGAACATCCAACTACATATGTGTTATAGAGATTACTATATTGATGTCTCCCCCTCTCCCCAGCTCAGATCAAATGCTACAACTGCTTTACTGCCTTCACTCCTGCCCCAGAGGAAAGCTAAGAGGCATGTTTTCATGAAGAAAACCCAAGCTCCTTCTCAAACATAGTGCCATTACTTTGGAAAGTAATTTAATCAGAGAAACAACTTCTTTGTTTATAAATCTCAGCTCTCCTTCTCAGCTTCCAGGGATTGTCTTTTGAAATGTTAATGGAGCCTGACTGGCCCAGAGGGTAGCCCCCAACCCTGAGGTCCCCTCAGACCCCAGCATCCATTTGGGTCCACAGGAGTGGGCCAGAAAAGGGGCAGGGCCCCCCAGCCATCTAGGGCAGGGAAGGAAATGGATTTCCATCTGGGACCGTGCTCAGGAGAAAGCTAGATCTGGAAAGGCTCTAGTGCCCATTTGCTATTATTTATTTCCAGTTTGTTCTCCCAAATATGAGCCAGAAGTGTTTGTTTTGGTGTCTTAAAAACAAAACAAAACAAAAAAAAACATGTTGGAGTTGTGACTGGGGGGAGGGGGGAGTGAAGTGTTTGCTGAGGACACTGCTCCTCAGACTCCCATCTCACTTTGTCCATTGCAGCCTTTTGTTGTGAGATGACATTGTCAGTCAGCCCCATGGTGTCTGTTCCTACGAGATGCTTTTTTAATAGAATTGACCAATGTTTTGCTGCCATTGATTAAAGTATTATTTATACTAATTGTTGCCTGTAGTTTTGATGTAATTCATTGATCTATATTTGAAATAATAAAAGGTGTAGCAAAATCTCCCTTCTGTTTGATGCCTTGACAGAAGCATTCTTGATTAAATCTACTAAAAGCTAATAAACTATTTTTATTATTTTCTACAATAAATTAGGAACCAGTTCTGTTGGTGCCTAAGGTGTAAAGATTAAACAGTGGAAGTCTTAGCATTTCTGGGATTCCCTTTCTCCCTCATATACACACATTCCCAATTTGGCCACCATATTTTGTGGGCATTGGGAAGCCTGGGTGGAATTCAGGCTGCAGGGTAGAGGGTATTATTTCTTTAAAGGAAAAGAAGTAACTCTCCAGGCAAACAGGGGGCTCCAGATGAGCTTTCTGCTTGGCCCAGACCAGCATGAGATCCCTTCAGCCAGGGAACCCTCAAAGGAGATCTCTGGTGGATGAGACACTTTCCCACACCATTCCACTCCCTCAGTTCTGGGAGAGAGCGCTGGGTCCCAGGCCAAGCTGAGACTGGCTTGGCGGCTGCTCTTATCTGACCCTGCTGGCCTCCACTCTTGGCTTCTTCTACTCTTCCAGGACTGCTCAACCTCCCAGGGGCCTCCAGCACCTGCCCCTCCTTCCCCACCCTCCTCCCTCTCTCCCATCCTCCCCCCACTTTCCTTCCCCCCCTTCAGGTCACAATAAACACTCCCCACTATAAAAAGTACCTTGCACTATTTTTATCGAGAGGGTTTTTTTTCCCACATCTTGGCTTCTCGAAGAGGGGGGGGAACCCAGACAGGAGACCCAAAATAAATGGGGGGCCTGCTGGAGGCAGGAAATAAGCAGAATGCATAAAATCAGGCATGGGTTCTTAATGTATGGAAGGGCTCGCCCCAGACGCGTGGACATGTGTATTTATAAGTGCACAGACAGAAGTTTAAATATTCAGACACATTTTATGATTGTCCTCTGCCCGTCTTCTGGTTAATGGCTCCTCCTGTGCCCACCAATACATCAATACCGTTGTGTGTATTGAATCACCGGCAGGGATGAGGAGGAAGCGAGTCCATAGCCGAACCAGCTGAGTACAGTACAGTAAATCGAGACCCTCGGCAGACGGCGCTTCCCGCCGGGCCTTTCATAACCCGGAGAATTTTCAAAGTGCGAGGAAGATGATAAGAATAGATTTCTACAAGTCCTGACCACGTGATTGGCGAAATAATTAATTCAGCACGTCCCTTAAGAAACACGGAGTCGTCATTAATCTGCCACGCAAAGGGCTCTCTCCGACTTGGAAA